AGATAGATAGATAGATAGATAGATAGATAGATAGATAGATAGATAGATAGACTGCTTCTATGTTTTCCAACCTGAAAACCTTGAGCTGCTTTCCCTGTTTCAAAAAAATACAAAATAAAAATACTGTGTTGCACCTTAAAGGCATTAAATATTAAGGTCCATTTGATTTGCCTAAGAAACAGCCCGGCTCTGACCCTCATGAATATAAATAGATGGAATTCTTAGCCCATCTCTCTCTCTCTCTCTTAATGAAAGGAATAAGCCCTCATTTTCTCATCTCATCATACTGTAATGTGACAACTCTGCTGTGGTAAGACGCCTAGGGAGAAACACTTTACCTGGAATGAGCGTGTGTGAGCATGTGTGCATTGCACCTCAATGAAAAGCTATTCCCCAGTAAGCTTGTAATGTGTATCCGGCTTGCACCATCTGTACAGAGTGAAGACTTTTCATCTGCCAGAGCTCCAGCACAGCTCGGAGCAGAAGACAACAAATTATGGAAAGATTCTAGAATGTCAAAATGACCTGTGTGGGTGTAAATGGTCACATATAGAGCTCAATGATAGTCTCACTTAACTAGACTGGTCTGAAAGTCTGGTCCACCAACAACAGCTCACTTAGACCCGAAAAAATAAATAAATAAATAAAATCTGACCATCATGTAAAGTAACCACTCATGGTTATAGATGAGTCAAGTTTTCTATCAGTTGACAAGTAAAAAGCACATACTATTTTCAACTGCAAATCCAATGAATACTTTGTCTATATCAGTGCTTTTCAAACAGTGATTTGCAATCTAAAATAGGCTGCAGATCTGTTATGTCAGGGTTGAGAATAGCAGATAAAAAACAATGCTAAATGCAAACGACAAAATTCATCTAAAAATATAAACATGCCTTGGTAGGAAATCAAAATAAAAAAGCGCATCAAATTCTAAGGCACTATAGGTAAAAACATATTTATTTTATTTTATTTAATACACTGGTCAATCTTGAGATTTTGAGCTGTTTGGCTTTTCATAATGTGTTGTTTCAGACTAGTGGAAAAAACATCGACATTACACTTTTATTTTATTGCACTTTATGTACTTGTGTCTGCAGATTTCAGATACAATACACATCTTTAAAGGACCGCCCCCTCCTCAATTTATTTTTCTCTCATGCACTGAGCAAGAACTCTCCACTTCAGTAGCACTTACCAAACTTTATTCTTGTATAATATTCAGAAGGTTTTTACAGATGGGGTTTGTTCATGTGTACACACACACAGTTATGGTAAAAATTGTACATACACTTTGCAGTATCTGCAGTATTATGGGATCATACAAAAAAGTACTGACCCGAATAAGATATTTCACATAAAAGACGTTTGCATATAGTCCACAAGAGAAAATAATAGTTGAATTTATAATTTATGACCAAGTTCAAAAGTTTACATGCGCTTGAACCATAAAACTGTGTTGTTACCTGGATGATCCACAGCTGTTTTTTTTTTGTTTGTTTTTTTGTGATAGTTGTTCATGAGACCCTTGTTTGTCCTGAACAATTAGAAAACAGTTAAAAAACTTCAGGTCCCACAAATTATTTGGTTTTCCAGCATCTTTCGGGTATTTGAACCCTTTCTAACAATGACTGTACGATTTGGAGATCCATCTTTTCACACTGAGGTCAACTGAGGGACTCATACGCAACTATAACAAAAGGTTTAAACGCTCACTGATGTATATATATATATAACAAGAATTTTGCACCGGACTATAGCCAACGTTAAGATTTCTGGAGATTAGTGCAAATTGAAAAATAATAATGCATCATTTGCATTCCGAAAACTTGGAATACAAAAACGTTTGTACTTCTTAATGTAATCAGGGAAGAATGGTGATTAGTATTTATATCTATTATCTATTATCATATATTAGTACCTATTCACTTGGGTGTCTTGCCTTAAAATAGAGAAAATGTCTCTCATATATTTTGTTAGTCATGCCAAAGGCTGTGTGTCTAATTATAACTTTATTATATTTAATAATAAATAATAATAATTATAACTTTATTTATTTACTTTATAATATTTTTTTTAATATTAATTGTACAAAAAAATATAATTCTGCACATTGCTGGACCAAAAAGAATATAGGAATATATATATAAAAAAAAACTGTAAAACACTGTAATTTTAACATTTATAAGAACTAAAAAAATAAAAAAATAAAAAAATTAGATACAGTTTTTGCCACTTTATGTCTGATGTTAAATCTGAGTCCTGAAGCAAAACTAATTGAGAACCACTGCTTTGGCTGACAGAAATAATAATTTAATCTGCTACATGGACATCCTGATATCTGGGAAATTGGGATCCTACCAAAAGGCCACAGCTACTGCCCCTTCCAGTGTCCTGTGGAAGCCACCTGCGCCCCTACT